AAATATTACATTTTTTGGTAAAGTTTTCTTTGAAACAATGGCTACATTGTATTTCTAACATTTAAATGATGAGTTTCACGAAGCATAGGCTGTTCAGTTTTTATTTATTTAACATCTTAAATCATGCAATGAAGCCACAGTTAGGGCTGTTGGGGTGACCGTATTACCGCCACACCAGCAGTCACGAGTCATGAAGGCAGTCAAATTACACCTGACCATTTAGTCACGGTAATTAGGCTTCTCCAAGCTCTGATGCTGCTGATGGTCATTAGTAGCCTACCAAACTTGCTAACTGCCTGGTACTCAGCACTCTATTGTCCCTCTAATCACTGACATCAATGAAAATGTTTTTGAAAACCTAATCAAACACTTCATGAGAGCCCATGAGCTCATGTTGCGCAACATTTCTATAGGCTATGCAATTGCGCAAGAAAACAGAGTGATGGCCTCTATTAAAAAGAGAAGGAGCCCATCAGCTTTCTATAGGCTAGGCCTATTATATTTATTTCTCAACTTTCCTAATACTAAGCACATTGCTTATCTTTACAACAGGAGTATAGCCTACCTGGCTGGCATGAAAATGAACCACGGGAAAAGCGTCCTTCATTTGCTATTTAAGTGCATAGATGACATGTTTTTTTCCCCTGCTTCGAGACAGGTGCATGATAATGGTCTTGTGAATGATGCCCAGCATAAGGCAAGAAACAATGCCTTTTTTTGTGTGACTTTTTCGAATCATAGTCGCACACCTTATGTAGCCTAGCCCATAGGCCTATATGTTTTGACAAGGTTTGTATCACAACTAAAGGGGCCAAATAACTTCTTAAAATTAAGCACATTAATCCACTTTACAAGGGGTGTAAAGCCTAACTGGCATACCTAAGCAGTGTGTGAGTTTTACCTCTATAATAAAAGTACCGTGTGAAGAAATAGCCTAATAGTTTATCAACATTTTAAGCTAAACGTTCTGATCTATTGCGTCAGCCACATTGCGTTAAAACATGTTTTTTTTTTTAATGCTAGTGGTTGTATTAATTTGGGATCTATCGCATCCCACAACTGTCCCAGACTATGTTTGGAATATGTATTTCTCGCACAGAATAGGTCAACTTTTGTACTATGGGGGATAGTAGATTGACATAGGCGAGTTGCTGTTCATTAGGCCTACTCATCTTGTTGGCTGACGAAAAGTAAATGCGGACAGTTCTTCCAATATCTTCGATATGCAGTTGCGTCCCCGATGTGTCTGTCTTCACTTGTAGCCTGTGAGAAAGACCCGATCAAGTAAGCCATGTGAGTGAGACGTGCTTCGGCGCAGGCAGCACTCAGGGAGAAGGGCACAACACAGCACTCCGGGCCAAGGGCACAACAGCCACTGGCCGCAAAGCATGGATTTATTTAGGGTGCATTACGGCCACACAAAGGGGATGCTGCTGGGAAATTCGAGGCATTAGCAAGTGCTTAACAAATTGTGAATGAGAGACTGATGAAGTGTACAGCCTGCGCAAAAAAGGTCCTGTATAAACACAAAGCTTTGCCTATGGTAGGCTGCGTGTGAACAATCCCGATGCTGTGTTTTAACGTTTAGAAACGTCAATAATTATTGCTTGCAAAACGGTTTTCGAAACATATGGCGATGTCTCTTATTTTTCATATCAGCGGGAAAGAAAAAAACTGTAGCAGTTTTGCACAGATCCATACGCTGTGTGTGCCTCCAGTTGACGAACTACACTTCCTCCCCAGTCATGCTTACACCACAGGAGGCTGCTGAGGGGTGGACGGCTCATAATAATGGCTGGAATGAAGTAAATGGAATGGCATCAAACACATGGAAACCATGTGTTTGATAACATTACATTTATTCCGTTCCAGCCATTACTATGAGGCCCGTCCTCCCCAATTAAAGTGCCGCCTGCCGTCTGTGGCTTACACACAGGTGTTCGGTGCCCTAATCTATGAATTTCACATGACTGGCCAGTTGTGCATAGACCCACCCACTTGGGAGCCAGGCCCACCCACTGGGGAGCCAGGCCCAGCCAATCAGAATGAGTTTTTCCCCACAAAAGGGCTTTATTACAGACAGAAATAGCCCTCCTCAGACGATCCCGCAGGTGAAGAAGCCTGATGTGGAGGTCCTGGGCTGGCATGGTTACACGTGGTCTGCAGTTGTGAGGCCGGTCGAATGTACTGCCAAATTCTCTAAAACAATGTTGGAGGCGGCTTATGGTAAAGAACTGAACATCCAATTCTCTGGCAACAGCTCTGTTGGACATTCCTGCAGTCAGCATGCCAATTGCACGCTCCCTCAAAACGTGAGACATCTGTGGCATTGTGTTGTGTGACACAACTGCACATTTTAGAGTGGCCTTTTATTGTGCCCAGCACAAGGTGCATCTGTGTAATGATCATGCTGTTTAATCCGTTTCTTGATATGCCACACCTGTCAGGTGGATGGATTATCTTGGCAAAGGAGAAAAGCTCACTAACAGGGATGTAAACAAAAATTGTGCACAACATTTGAGAGAAAAAAGGGACCAACACATGGGACCAACACTTTACATGTTGCGTTTATATTTTTGTTCAATATAATTAGCAAACGTGGCTGCCTATGACTTCCGTCTGTCTTCCGTAAACAAGCACTGTAACATGGAGATATGGCCGTATGGGAACACTAACCCTTTAAAGGTGTGCAGTAATTTAACCTTTTGTTTTTTGACAATTATTTCTCGCTGATATGAAAACCTTACCGCAAGCGATGCTTTAAATGTTCAGAACGAGCGTCGGGGCTCATAACAAAACTCCCCTGGCCAGAAGATACTATCGGCAATAGGCGCTAAAGGTAGTTAGCGTCTATGAATGGGTTAACATGACCCCTATACAAGTGGAACAAACTAAGGGATAGTGCTGTGTGTTGTGCATGTGTGTGACTGCCTGTACTCGACCCCTTCAGTGGACCAAAGTGGACAGCTCCGCCAAAAGCCCGACCACATTCCAGAGCTGAAGAGGTCCCGTGGGGATACTGGCATGAGCTCACATGATGACGGCCGATGGGTGTTGGACTTGTTCAGAGGTCCAGCCTCCCCCCATGCCTGGTTCCAGCTATGTGCATCCTCTCATGGAAGAAAAAATGTGTTTTCTTTCATCTCTCATGTGAACTTCCAATGGAAATTTGCATTTGACTCCTCTAAACCATTCCCATATGGAAGATAGGCTGACACTGATGAATATTTGTGTCACTGGAAAAAAAAACACAAAATAGGTCACTCAGAGAATTTGGCTATCAATCTGATTTTTTATATATTCTAAATATCTGCTATTTTATCTCTTTCTGGGACAGCATCATAACATCCAAGCAGGGTGCTCCAATAACATGTAGACATATTTTCAAGGCTGTTCTTGACTCACATTAATCTAGTATCAATAGATAATTTGCATGGCTACCCAAACTCTTTGCTCTGGCTTAACACTACGCCCATGGACGTTAGTTTCTTCCCCTCAATGAGTCTGGATCTAAGTACCTCCCTGAAGATTTCTAGAATGGAAATCCACTCTAGACTGTGTGATTGGTCCCAGAAAATGATGGGTTGGGCCAGAGCTAGAACACATTTGGGTAAAGCGCCGTTTTGAAAATGTGTCATTGGCTTTGATACTCTGATTGGTTAAAGGTGATACAATCGCTGATTACTTTGTATTTTTGACATCGCCACAAACTTCAATGATGGCAGTCTCAGACTGAAGTATGTAGCAAACGATAGAGCAGCAGAATAATAAGAGACCCACTAATGATGTAGAAAATATAACTAGAAAGGAATACTTGTCAAATCTTCATGGTTTCACAGATGTTGGCGATAACTCACAAATAAGATTGAATGACTTCAGAATATCAAGTTATCCACATGGCATCTGTCTGCTTCAAACAATGTTGACTTATGGGTCATATTTGATGAAGATTGAGAAAGTGCCAGTTGCCTTAACTTCTGCATAAAACCAAATTGTACTAAGAAGAATAAAAATACAGCAAATAAGAGACAAGACATTTTAATCGCAACGGTTTATGCCAGTGGTAAAAACTACAATTGCTCAGACTCTCATACAGGCTCTTATACTGCAGCATTTCATTGTGTGACATCAAAAGCAATTTGTTCTCATTCACCACTGCTCTGAATGCCAACTGAGATAATTGAAGTTAGTCATTCGATGTTAGCCATATTTATCCGGTAACATTGAAAATGTTGGCATTGAAGATTACAGTCATTGCGGTTGTATTGATTCATGTGTGGGCAGTAGCAGCAATTTCATTCGTGGAATAACAGTGAAAAACTGTTCTACTCAATAAAGGGCAAATAGCTAACAGACAAAAGCTTTCTACCGCTCAAGGTCTCAGAGTAATTCCTGGCTGATGGTTACCTCATAGCTTGCAATGACTGTTTCTAATCTTCCCTGATAGATCATATGAAATATATGTACTTAATTAGGCCCGGATACTTCTTCTACACTGTCCATACTGTAATGTTATCACTACTAGGTTGGCCAAGTGAAATATCCTTCACAGAACAAACACCATATATTCTGTCTGAATTAATCTACACCTAATGCAAGCAACACCTGAGGAATACATTACATCCTGCCTATTTAAATGGTTTCTACCATTCTAGAGGTACTAAAAACGGTGATAAATGAAAAACATTAGTGAGCTGGATGTCTTCCATGTAAACTTTTCCAATAAGCAGAAGCTACACGAGAGGTGAGAGCCAAAACGGCTGCTACTGTACAGTAATGTGAGCAAACGCTTTTCAAGGGGGAGATCCAAAGCGTCGGGCCAGTGAGTGACTTATTTTCCTTGCAAAAATATTTACTTAGACAACTAATTTGATATGTTTGGTGATATGCAAGGTCTTCTTTGAGGTTGGTCTTCACTGTGCAGTTAGCTAGCATGGCTGAGAGTGAGAGTGGAATAGGGAGGGAGGGAGGGAGGGAGCAGAGCGGGTCTTTTTTCCCCATCAGACGTCCGTCATCTCGTCCTCCATCTCATCCCCCTCGGCCTCCCCCTCCTCCTCCCCCTCCTCCTCCTCCTCCTCCTCCTCCTCCTCCTCCTCCTCCGACGTCAGATCCAGCTCATCCATCTGAGACACACATTTTGGACACGAGCAGATGAACAGGTAGTTATCCCTGGGAAGAGAATAACGATGTTACATAAGTCACACGGATGCCTGTCTCGTTCTGGACCAAGATTGCCTGAGAGAGCGAGCAAAAGGAAGAAAGAACAAAACTGATCAAATGCATTTGCTTCAATCTGTGAGCTCCTCAAAAATAAATGCCATGATTCAACACTGTAAACATACTGTTTATGTAAGCGTAATACACGGTGAGTCTGAATAGGAAGAGAGACACCCCACTCGCTGTTTTTTTCTGGTTCAATGACAGTCAATGAACTAAGTAGACCAGACCCAGCTTCTATTGCATTGGTGTCTATGGGAGACACAAACAGTTAAAGGTCTAATGCAGACATAAAGGTCTAATGCAACAATTAAGTAAGTTACTGTGATTGTTTTAAATTAAAACTGTTGACAAACAAAAATAGCTTCTAAGCAAAGAGCAATTTCATAAGCAAGAATTTTGCTACGACTGTCTGGGAGGGTCTGAGTGGGGAGGTGAAAACTGAAAACTAGCTGTTATTGGCAGAGAGGTTTGGAACCCTTTCTTATTGGTCTATGAACTAACCAATGTCACCAGGCAGGCCAAAACTCCATCCCACCAAAACAGGCTGAAATTTCAGGCTGTTTTTTTAAACAGCTCTTAAACTAAAAGGGGCATAATGAACACCTCATTCCATAATCATTGGCATTCATATGGAGTTGGTCCCCCCTTCGCTGCTATAACAGCCTCCACTTTTCTGGGAAGGCTTTCCACTAGTTGTTGGAACATTGCTGCGGGGACATGCTTCCATTCAGCCACGAGCATTAGTAAAGTCGGGCACTGATGTTGGGTGATGAGGCCTGACTCGCAGTCTGTGTTCCAATTCATCCCAAAGGTGTTCGATGGGGTTGAGGTCAAGGCTCTGTGCAGGCCAGTCAAGTTCCTCCACACCCATCTCGACAAACCATTTCTGTATGGACCTCGCTTTGTGCACGGGGGCATTGTCATGCTGAAACAAGAAAGAGCCTTCCCCAAACTGTTGCCACAAAGTTGGAAGCACAGAATCGTCTAGAATGTCATTGTATGCTGTAGCGTTAAGATTTCCCTTCACTGGAACTAAGGGGCCTAGCCCGAACCATGAAAAACAGCCCCAGACGATTATTCCTCCTCCACCAAACTTTACAGTTGGCACTATGCATTCGGGCAGGTAGTGTTCTCCTGGCATCCGCCAAACCCAGATTCATCCATCGGACTGCCAGATGGTGAAGCGTGATTCATCACTCTAGAGAACGCTAGAGAACACTGCTTCAGAGTCCAATGTTGACGAGCTTTACACCACTCCAGCCGACACTTGGCATTGGACATGGTGCTATTTTTACGCGCTACACGCTTCAGCACTCGGTGGTCCCGTTCTGTGAGCTTGTGTGGCCTACCACTTCGCGGCTGAGCCGTTGTTGCTCCTAGACCTTTCCACTTCACAATAACAGCACTTAGAGTTCACCGGGGCAGCTCTAGCAGTGCAGAAATTTGACGAACTGACTTGTTAGAAAAGGTGGCATCTTATGACGGTGACACGTTGAAAGTCACTAAGCTCTTCAGTAAGGCCATTCTACTGCCAATGTTAGTCTATAGCGATTCCATGGCTGTGTGCTCGGCTTTATACACCTGTCAGCAACGGGTGTGGCTGAAATAGCTGAATCCACTAATTTGAAGGGGTGTCCACATACTTTTGTATATAAAGCACAGGAAATCACATTTTGACTGCACTGGACCTTTAAGTAGACCGGAACATACTTTTTTTTTTTAACGGTAAACAATCTCATTTGCTGAGAAAAGAGACAGAGACTAGTCTTTGTTCATGCTTCACTATCTTCAGTTTCTGGGAGTTGCAGCTTTTCAAGGTGAAGTGCCTTTCAACAGGATACAGTGAATATGAATCCAAAAATAGGCTCCCGCGGAACAAACCAGCCCTGGGTTTAAGGGGGTAAAATCGGTAACGGATTGACGGCTAGCTAATCGATAAAGAGCGTAGGTAGGCACCGGAATAACCGCCAGACCCCCTTTGGCTGCGCTGGCCCAGGATTGCCCGTTATTGCCTGGGAGGGTGGCCATTGATCTTGACTGAACTGGGAACAGTTTGAGTCTGTCAAAAGGATTGGTACACAGGGGATTTTAGTTGTTTACCTCAGGATTTTGTGTCTGCTATGACGGCTTCTGTCACGCTGACAGCAGTCCAAGTAACTGATACTGATCTCCTGGAGATGTGAGGAAACAGAGTTTAACAAGTTAGCAGGTGAGGACATTCACATCAAAAGACCTCCCATTACTGTTACTATATCGGGATTATTTTACATAACAATGAATGACAGTCAGCCACTTCTTGAGTTATTGTTCAAGTTCCGTTACTTTATCTGGTTGTTTCATGTTTATTCAGCAGCAGGCGCCAAATTTTGTCGCTATCCTGCCATGGTCATAAGAACGACACTAAAGTGCTCACATTTTTCGGCCAGAATTCAAATCGGCTGGCAAAACATTTCTCTGGCCCCCTCTGACGCTACTGTTACAGGCAGATGCAAGCCTTCTCAATCTCTCTGACAGCCTGACACATCTGCTCTATTCCTTAAAGTCTCAGACCGCTAATTCCAGCTGACAACAGAGCACACAGAGAAAGCAAGTCGGGATGTTCTGTCCAGTCTATCCACGGCCAGAATGTATCACCCCCCCCCCCCCCCCCCCCCGACCCAGCATCCTCTTCTGACCTCTCCAGGGCTGATGTCACTTAGGGCACTGAGGTGAAGCAAGAAGTTGTTGTTCGGGAAAGATGCCGCTGCGTTCGGTATGCAGCTGTGGTTACCTAGAGAGTAGACAAAACAATCAAACATTTGACCAGTTCAAAAACGTATTTGTAGTTAAATTTAATTGATTCTGTATGATGTGCGAGTTTGTGGATTCTGGAAGCTGGGGTTAGAAACCTTCTGATAGTGATGACTCACATGCGCTTTGCAGTAGGAAGAGCCCGGAACCCTCGCAGTTCAGAAAGTCACCGGTCTCTGCGGAGACAAATCTAATTCAGCTCTGACCTCCATTGTCAGTAGAAGAGATTCATTCCATATTAGTAACGATTTCAAATATGCCCGAGTCAAGCCACCCCAATTCAGAGGCGCCAAGTATAATTTACAATCTATCATAAAATGTGAGCTGTACAAAGCCTCTGAAGAACTTGCTTGGTAAATGTAGGTTTAGACTCAAATCTATTTAATCAGACAGTTTTCCGCAGTTTTCCTCATAAACGGTACGGATGTCTCAGGAAGCAGCACTGTATTTGAGTGTAGGGAGGGAATTGTGACCTTTCTCAATGTCCTTGTATAGTTGGTCAATGAAGGAATCCAATTGCTCCCTCTGCTGGCTTGTCAGCGCCAAAGCATCACATGCATGAACCCATTGGCTGAGAGAACTAGGTAAACAGACATGAGAAAACAATGTCAGCACTTTAAAAATGAATGATATTCAGACTAATGGCACTTCGTAAGTGCATAATTTATGTCCATAACATCCATAATTTATGAATTGGAAAGATTTAGAGTTTAACCTTACCTGGTACCAATGCCCTGTCCATTGGTCCCCACAAGGGAGAAGAGGGAACGAAATCCCTCAGGTGTAAACCACTGTAACATGCAAGGACACACCTTATAGCATACAGTATCTGTATCATAATCACACATGTTCAGGTCAGAGCTCATTCATAAGAAATTGTTCAATCGAATACATTATTTTACAGTCTTGTCTACTGGGAGCGAAGATGTCAAGTACGTAGCCAAGTATCAGCTCGAAAAACATGTATGCCGATAAATAAATTGGTAATGAATGGGGAAATAGTGCCACACTCACCCGATTGAGATGATCGTCGTAAAGTGCCGTCGTAAACAGGGTTCGTAGTAAGGTCAACTGCCCCTACAAACCCAATACAATATGTAAAAATTAAGGTAAAAGTCTATACAGTGTGGGGAAAAAGTATTTGATCCCCTGCTGATTTTGTACGTTTGCCCACTGACAAAGAAATGATCAGTCTATAATTTTAATGGTAGGTTTATTTGAAGAGTGAGAGACAGAATAACAAAAAAATAAAACGCATGTCAAAAATGTTATAAATTGATTTGCATTTTAATGAGGGAAATAAGTATTTGACCCCCTCTCAATCAGAAAGATTTCTGGCTCCCAGGTGTCTTTTATACAGGTAACGAGCTGAGATTAGGAGCACACTCTTAAAGGGAGTGCTCCTAATCTCAGCTTGTTACCTGTATAAAAAGACACCTGTCCACAGAAGCAATCAATCAATCAGATTCCAAACTCTCCACCATGGCCAAGACCAAAGAGCTCTCCAAGGATGTCAGGGACAAGATTGTAGACCTACACAAGGCTGGAATGGGCTACAAGACCATCGGCAAGCAGCTTGGTGAGAAGGTGACAACAGTTGGTGCGATTATTCGCAAATGGAAGAAACACAAAATAACTGTCAATCTCCCTCTGCCTGGGGCTCCATGCAAGATCCCACCTCGTGGAGTTGCAATGATCATGAGAACGGTGAGGAATCAGCCCAGAACTACACGGGATGATCTTGTCAATGATCTCAAGGCAGCTGGGACCATAGTCACCAAGAAAACAATTGGTAACACACTACGCCGTGAAGAACTGAGATCCTGCAGCGCCCGCAAGGTCCCCCTGCTCAAGAAAGCATATATACAGGGCCATCTGAAGTTTGCCAATGAACATCTGAATGATTCAGAGAACTGGGTGAAAGTGTTGTGGTCAGATGAGACCAAAATCGAGCTCTTTGGCATCAACTCAACTCGCCGTGTTTGGAGGAGGAGGAATGCTTTCTATGTCTCCTGACCTTAATCCCATAGAAAATCTGTGGAGGGAGCTGAAGGTTCGAGTTGCCAAACGTCAGCCTCGAAACCTTAATGACTTGGAGAAGATCTGCAAAGAGGAGTGGAACAAAATTCCTCCTGAGATGTGTGCAAACCTCGTGGCCAACTACAAGAAATGTCTGATCTCTGTGATTGCCAACAAGGGTTTTGCCACCAAATACTAAGTAATGTTTTGCAGAGGGGTCAAATACTTATTTCCCTCATTAAAATGCAAATCAATATATAACATTTTTGAGATGCGTTTTTCTGTATTTTTTTGTTGTTATTCTGTCTTTCACTGTTCAAATAAACCTACCATTAAAATTATAGGCTGATCATTTCTTTGTCAGTGGGCAAACGTACAAAATCAGCAGGGGATCAAATACTTTTTTCCCTCACTGTAAGTAACACTTTTGAAATCTATTCCAATAACAGTGACTCCAATAACAGTGACCACATATTTTTTTACCAAATTTGAAGCTCAAACCTTGATTTCCTCAATTCTTCTCAAAGCACATTGGAGGAGTGTTCCAACATCCTTTCCTCAGACCTCCTCCTCCAATGAGTCTTAAGGGGAATTGAGGAAACAAGGATGGGGAAGTAAGGATTTAACAGCTTGTAGCTAACATTTTTAGACACAGCCACTCTCTCTATGCTTACTTGGAACTTCTCTCCCAGCATCTTATGTGCAATCTCCTCCTCCTCGTTGGCCGCACGGCTGCAGAATTGAGAGAACAACTTCTGCCAGTGCCCTTTGTCTTGGGCCTGCATGACACAAATTCAAACATTGATTATTATTATATGTTTGAGATATACATATTATGCACAGGTATGCACAGAATATAGGATTATTATAGAAAACTGACAGGTTAAATGCTTCTCCAGGCATTGTGAAGCTCTGTTAATCTGCACAAACCTTAATCTCAAACTAACATTCACTACAAAGACAGAATGCAAATACAAAGTGCAAACCACCTTGGAATTGGAGCAGCTCAACAAAAAAAGGCTGAGGCAGAGGAAGCTCACCTGTTTGACAGTGGCCACCATCCTGGCCATGAGCATGATGCTGGAGGTCTCAGGAGGGTAGTGCATGCTCCTAGGGGACAGATAGGGAACAATCTCACCTTATACTGCAGCAATCACAGCCAAAATATTACTGGGGCTGGATCAGAAAACGTTACTAGCTGTCAAATCCTTGCTTTCTCGTCCTCGTTCACTCAAATTCCTTTTCTCCCTCTCAAAGCTAATTGAAAGAGGAGTTGCAAGGGAGGGAGCAAGGAAGGAAGGATTTGACAGCTAGTAACATTTTTAGATCCAGTCCAAGAACAACATGTGCCCCATCTAGTGGTATTCAATCCATATCTCACCTCCAGGCGTCCTTTAGTTTGTTGACGGGGTGGTTCGGGTCCTCTTGGGAGGAGCCTAGGCACAGGGCCCGATGGTACTGGTCTGCCGCAGCCTGCCGACACTCGTTGCTACAGTACATCACCTGCAGGGGGAAACAAAGTTTCACTGAAGCCCAAAGCGAGACACTGGACTAGACTGGAGGAAGTAGCTACAGTATATCAACACATCTCCATGTGGAGGTCAGACAGACATTGGGTAGGTGCATCTCATTTAAGTGGCTTCTAATCCTTCATCTTTACTGATCTGAAAACACAGGCTAAGAAAAAGCAAATAGGAATCTTCCATATTGCTTTCACCTACAATGTGTTTATTTGTTTGTATTTTTTAGGGGGTAGATCAGTTTTAATGTTACAGACAGATTGTGGGTTCTATCAATGTATTTGTCTGCATCATTTCCAATCCCCCATATGTTTTATTATTTTCCCCTAACCCCCCCTCCCCTAATTGGAGTAAACTAATGGCCAACAATATTTAGGCTTCTACATCAAATATTGGGACACTGTATATTTTACATTAGTTATCTTTTTTGTTTTTAGTCCCATCCTTCAGCTACCCTCAACCCCTCCCATCAATCTCACACCAAATATTTTTCAACTGTGCTGTAATGTTTCACAAAAGTTCTGAACCTTTCTATTCTCATAGTTTCCACAGATTGTAAATTAAAGATGAACATTTTTACAGAGTATTATTAGATTATTGATCGATTGACTATGGCTTTTCAAGTCACCCAGCAGTGCTATTTGCAGTGCTATTTCCAGGTAAATGTTGCAATTCTTCAACCATTTCTGAACCTGCGACCAAAAACAAGCTACATATGGACAGTACCAAAACAAGTGATCTAATAATTCTGTCTCTTCGCAGCAAAATCTACAGAGCTGTGATGGATGTATCCCCCCATATACATAAAATTGGAAAAACTCTACGTTTTGAATCCAGCGTTGTTTTGTGTATCAGTTCATAAACCATGTGCCATGGGATCGGCACATTGAAAATCTCTTCAACTATTTTGCAACCTATATGGCACAGCTGTCAATTTTGGGGTCCTTAAATTAAACTGGTAAACTTTATTTATCACAATTTTTTTTAAACCATTTTTGGTCTTTAATGTAGGGCCGACAGACAAGTTCCTTACTTTCTCCCCCTTCCCTCTTCCATTTTTGGAGGTAATGCTGCAATCAGTTGGTTGTAATTTTGAATAGAGCAGACATTTCCATATATTGTTGTTAGCTGCATGTGTAACATAACTCCCCCAGTCCTATTTATGATATCATTAACAAAGATTATACAATTTTTTTATTTATTCCAAAAATATATAATTAGTATTTTTGAGTTTAACAATAATATTTGTTCTGTCTTTTCTGGTGGATTAAACTGAAATTGCAACCAGCTTTCCATGGCTTGTTTAAAAAAATAGGGATATTCCGGAGATGACTTCATTTTCAAATAACCGAAAGTGAGAGGCTGAATATAGAGGAAAAGGCCATTTTTGAACACGGGATAAGCTATTGTTACTAATCTGCTGGAAAACCAGTTCAGATTTAAGTCAACTTTTGTATGACTGAAGCCTTTAGTGAGAGGTTCAATGCTTTAGTATTAAAAAATGTCAGCCCTCTGAATTCATATTAATTATATAAATTAGGCACATTTAATTGCCGTTCAAAATAAAGTGGAATATTTTTTGCTCATATAATTTAAAAAAAAAAGTCATTCGGTGTAGTAAATAGGTAAACTGGGATATGACTAAAGAGTTAATCAGGGTGATTTTTCCACAAATAGACAGGTATTTATTTACCTTTCCATGGTAGCAAGATCATATCTAGTTTTGCTAACTTTCTATGATAATGTATTGTAGTGAGATCGTTTCTTTCTTTCGGGATATACACTACCGTTCAAAAGTTTGGGGTGACTTAGAAATGTCCTTGTTTTAAAAGAAAACATACATGAAATGAGTTTGAATAGGAAATATAGCAAAATGCATAGGAAATGTAGTCATTGACAAGGTTAGAAATAATGATTTTTAATTGAAATAATAATTGTGTCCTTCAAACTTTGCTTTTGTCAAATAATCCTCAATTTGCAGCAATTACAGCCTTGCAGACCTTTGACATTACAGTTGTCAATTTGTTGAGGTAATCTGAAGAGATTTCACCCCATGCTTCCTGAAGCACCTCCCACAAATTGGATTGGCTTGATGGGCACTTCTTACGTACCATACGGTCAAGCTGCTCCCACAACAGCTCAATCGGGTTGAGATCCGGTGAATGTGCTGGCCACTCCATTATAGACAGAATACCAGCTGACTGCTTCTTCCCTAAATAGTTATTGCATAGTTTGGAGCTGTGCTTTGGGTCATTGTCCTGTTGTAGGAGGAAATTGGCTCCAATCAAGCGCCGTCCACAGGGTATGGCATGGCGTTGCAAAATGGAGTGAAAGCCTTCCTTCTTCAAGATCCCATTTACCCTGTACAAATCTCCCACTTTCCCACCACCAAAGCACCCCCAGACCATCACATTGCCTCCACCATGCTTGACAGATGGTATCAAGCACTCCTCCAGCATCTTTTCATTTGGTCTGCGTCTCACAAATGTTTTTCTTTGTGATCTGAACACCTCAAACTTCGAATCGTCTGTCCATAACACTTTTTTCCAATCTTCCTCTGTCCAGTGTCTGTGTTCTTTTGCCCATCTTAATCTTTTTTTTTTATTGGCCAGTCTGAGATATGGCTTTTTAATTGCAACTCTGCCTAGAAGGTCAGCATCCCGGAGTCACCTCTTCACTGTTGACGTTGAGACTGGTGTTTTGCGGGTACTATTTAATGAATCTGCCAGTTGAGGACCTGTGAGGCGTCTGTTTCTCAAACTAGACACTCTAATGTATTTGTCCTCTTGCTCAGTTGTGCACCGGGGCCTCCCACTCTTCCTTCTATTCTGGTTAGAGTCAGTTTGCGCTGTTCTGTGAAGGGAGTAGTACACAGCGTTGTACGAGATCTTCAGTTTCTTGACAATTTCTCGCATGGAATAGCCTTCATTTCTCAGAACAAGAATAGACTGACGAGTTTCAGAAGAAAGTTATTTGTTTCTGGCCATTTTGAGCCTGTAATCGAACCCACAGTTGCTGATGCCCCAGATAATCAACTAGTCTCAAGAAGGCCAGTTGTATTGCTTCTTTAATCAGCACAACAGTTTTCAGCTGTGCTAACATAATTTCAAAATGGTTTTCTAATGATCAATTAGCCTTTTAAAATGATAAACTTGGATTAGCAAACACAACGTGCCATTGGAACACAGGACTGATGGTTGCTGATAATGGGCCTCTGTATGCCTATGTAGATATTCCATTAAAAACCAGCCGTTTCCAGCAACAATGACCATTTACAACATTAACAATGTCTACACTATATTTCTGATCAATTTGATGTTATTTTAATGGACAAACAAATTGCTTTTCTTTCGCAAACAAGGACATTTCTAAGTGACCCCAAACTTTTGAACGGTAGTGTAAATCCCGATTATGTCCACTTCACCGTCAGACCATTTTATTGGTAAACTACACAGTAATGTAAAAGTTGTATTTTTAGCAATCCAATATGTAAAACAGTGCACTTATCAATATTTGGTTGTAATCCAGAGAGGTTAGAGAAATTATCTAGATCCTCTATGAGGCTGTGCAGGGATCCAAATTGTGCATTTAAAAAAAAACATGAGTTGTCAGCATACAATTTTTCTAAGCCCCGGATTTCTAGCCCCTTGATATTATTGTTGGATCCAATTTTAATAGCTAACATTTCGATGGCCATTATAAATAGATATGCTGATAGTGGACAACCTTGTCTCACTCCTCTTGACAGTTTAATACTTTCTGAGAAGTAGCCATTATTTACAACTGGGGTTACTATACATAACTTTAACCCATTGTATAAGAGATTCTCCTAAATCAAAACAGTCCAGGCATTTATATATAAATTCTAGTCATACTTTATCAAAGGCCTTTTCAAAAATGAACACTAGGCCCGGTTTCCCAGATCTTTCATAGTTTTCTATTGTTTCCTTGTCTTATATTATCTCCAATGTATCGTCCATGTAAAAAAACTTGTCTGACAATACCTTTTTAATTCTATGCATTTTGCTAGAATTTTTGCATCACAACACTGAAGTGTAAGGGGCCTCCAGTTTTTTAGGTGGGCTTGATCTTTATATTTACCACTTGGGTCCTGTTTCAGTAATAGTGAAATCAGAACTTCTTGTTGAGTATCTGATAGTCTACAATTGTTATAGGAGTGGTTAAAACATGCTAATAACAGACCTCTGAGTACATGGAAAAAGGTTTGATATACCTCAACTGGTATGCCATCCAGCCCTGGAGTTTTCCCGGACTTAAAGGCTTTAATTGCATCAAGAAGTTCCTCCTCTGTAATTTGGCCTTCACATGAGTCTTTCTGTACAGCCGTTAAATTTTACACTATTAATAGAAAAAACATCCTTACAATTAAACTTCAGTTAGTGGACATGGAGGAGACTGAAACGAAAACATATGCTTAAAGTACTTTGCTTCCTATTTAAAAAATTGGTTACAATGTGTTTTTAGATCAGTACTGTCCAGTCCTTAATTGGCAGTGCAGATGAGGAGGACTTGTTAGAGGCACTCACCTGGCATTGTGGGCAAGCTTGGTGCAGCTCTGGGTGCACTTTGCACAGCTCGGGGTGGGGTAGACTGAGGCAAGGGATGCCACTGAGTCTACGGGCATTTTCCTCAGCTGTCTCCAGAGCACGCAAGCAGAATTCACAGGCTGGAGAAGAGACAGGGATGGATGATTAAATGAGAGCGAACTAAAGGTCATATTATTCACTAAATATGAAAGACCATTCAAAGACTCAAAATGTGAGGTTTTCCCCTTGGCCTATGTTAATCTAAAATATGGCTTACAAAAGCAAAGCATGCTGGAACATTTTGCTCCACGATTTTCAGTCATCAATAGGAACATAAAAGGAGGATTTGTTCAGTCTGTCTTTCTACCTAAATCGTGAACCTATATAACACCTCACCTTTGTACTTGTACAGGGAATTCCACAAGAATTGGGCAGAGACAAGAGGGCGCTCAACAAAAATGGTGTCTCCTTTCTTGATGGCCTTCTTGGCAAATAATCCTTTGCCCTAAAATAAAACCAAATATTTAGATATAAATATCAATATGTCCATTTCAGTAATATGCACCTACCCATACTTTATCCACACAAAGTGTATCCTATTGATTCAGACCAGGCTAGCCTTTGCACTTTATTAGCCCCCCAAAAGGTCTACCTGAAAGACTATCTGTGCATACCTAGATAGCTAACGTTTCATGATGCTAGTTATTTAGCTAGACAAAAAGCTTAGCTAGCTTTAAAAGGAATCAGATAGCAATCCATGTGGCATGAATGAAGGTGTTGACTAAATGAATGTAATTTGCTAGTTACCATAAGCCATGATAAATCTAAAACATTAACACGGCTAGTAAGTAACCACGTAGTTACAGCCAGCCAGAAAACATAAACAAAATGACAAGAGATTCTGTCATGTGCATAATTTTCTGATTTGCCCAGCCCAGCCAGATTGACAGCATGCGTGGCAATGCATTTGGCATCAAAACGGTGCTCGATCCGATAAACTTGAAAGTAGCCTTTTCAAAAGAATCATTGTCTGCACATTACCTTAATCTTGTCAATAAATCGGACTTCCACACAACTGCTAACTTTAATGGGGTCGACGCAGAGAGAAAAGATGCAATCTTGGGGGGCAGCCATCTTCAAACTAACCTTCGCCCTTTCAACTCTGACGCTTAGATGCATCTACCTGTAGGCATTTGGCGGCCTCTAGCGGTTGATATAGCGAGTAGTTTTCTTATATACAGATTGGCCACAGTTAGTGCCTTGCAAAATTCTATGACATGATTTTATCTTCAATGAGATGTAATGAATCATATCATGAACGACAAACTTTTTCCAATAATATTTTAAAAAGTACACACAGTACCTGATAAATTAATTAATTAATTATGCGGAAGCTGACCCAAATTTTCATGCACAGGTAGATGGCTCACACTGTCACACATACACACATATGACATGAGACAAATAAAAGTGTATATATTTTATTTTATTACTAAACATTTTGATATGCAATAGAATCATCGATAACATTTAGTACATTTTGAGTAGCAGAAAATACATTAAAGCTAGAATCCTTAATTGAAACAATAACAAAGCGGACACCCCACCTCTGTTTTGGTAAAAAGCTGAGGGATGGGTCTGGAAAAATGTAACCACTCTCAAATTCATAGACAGAGCTATGGATGCAAGGACTGACCATCCATGATATAAATATTACAGTTTTAACCATGTTTTGAGGCTACACCGTGTTTGTTTACATTGTTTACAAACATTGGAGTAAAACAATCTTATATTTTGGGTTCTCATTGGGTGTGACAGTTGACCTAAACTAATGAGGCATTTGTAAGTTATATTCTTCAAGAATTAATGGATTCCAGTTTTAAATACGTACAGGAGGTTATGGATAACACATTGGTTAGTATAATATATTCTGGTAATAATGTTATATACACACACAAAAACATTTTACTGTGCAATGACAAGTTACTCACCAGTTATGTCACTTCTTCAATCAGTCAACACTGTATTGTACCCTTTCTCATACAATTATCATCTTGAATGGAATGTACAAAAATGTAAAACGTAGTATAGAAAACTTTATTTTTAGCAACCATGGTCCACAAACCAACTCTCCTCTAGAATGTCCTAGAAAGGCCCTTGTCAAGAAACAGACTTAGGCTGCATCCCGATTCTCCACAAGTGTGCACTTGCACATTCCCCATCATAGTGGTGGAATCTTCCTTCAGCCAACGCTTACACCAATCCAATACTTTTAAATCCATGATGGCGCACACCTGGGGAGGAGGGTGGAGAACTGGGATTCAGCCATAGCCTGTAGTACAGGGTGTAGTGGCTAGGGGCCGTTTCTGGACAGGGCCCTATTTGTAATCTTTCCATCAGACTCAAGTAGCCTACAGAGTAGTCTAGCCTGCTCTTTCACATTATACAGTTCCTTCAGAAAGTATTCACACCCCTAGACTTTTTCCACATTTTGTTATGTTACAGCCTGAATTTAAAATGGGTTAAATTGAGATTTAGTGTTTATAGACACAATATATTTGCCATGAACACAGAATTAAATAGAACGGACATGATTACAGGGTATCTTTCATTCGTCTAATTTGATATACAGTGACTTCAAAATGTTGTGTCACTGGCCTACACACAAAACCCCATTGAATGTTTTAAAGAATAATGTGTAAATATTGTACAATCCAGGTGTGCAAAGTTCTTAGAGACTTACAGCTGTAATCACTGCCAAAGGTGATTCTAACATGTATTGACTCAGGGGTGTGAATACTTACGTAAACTAGATATTTCTGTATTTCATTTCCAGTAATGTTGCAAACATTTATAATAATAATAATATAATATGCCATTTAGCAGACGCTTTTATCCAAAGCGACTTACAGTCATGCGTGCATACATTTTTTTTTTTGTGTGTATGGGTGGTCCCGGGGATCGAACCCACTACCTTGGCGTTACAAGCGCCGTGCTCTACCAGCTGAGCTACAGAGGACCTACATTTCTAAAAACATGTTTTCACTTTGTCATTATGGGGTATTGTGTGTAGATGGGTGAGATCATTTTTGTTGTTGTTGATCTAATCCATTTAGAATTCAGGCTGTAACAACACAATGTGGAATAAGTCAAGGGATATGAATACTTTCTGAAGGCACTGTATGAGTCATCATAAGACCTGAACAGTCAATCAGGATCTATCACTCAACACTGATTTATGTGATTGTAAAACGATTTTAGATCTTTTTATTTTTTTTACGTTAAAAAAATCCTAAATATATGTTTGAGGTCAGTACATGTATGTCATCCACCAAACATTCAAACAACTATAGTAGTTCAGGTGAACAATAAAAACATATCTCATATAAAAATTCGAACAAATGTGTTGATCAGCACGACCAATTGCGAAATAGCTGGTATAGGCATAACATTATAAAGTTCCATCATAACATATTACTACGATATTGTTCCCTTAACCTCCCTCAAGCCTTACTGATTTGCATCATTTTCACATTCCATGGAATGTGTTGTATTAAAACCAATGATTAAGACAGTACATGATAATCTATGCTACACTATATTAATGCAGCAAAAAGTGCCTGGACCTGTTACCATGATAGGCTATGGGAGACAGAGCTCCAGGGTGAAGTTTCCCCAAGGTACAGATCTGGGATAAGCTTCCCCTCCCCCAATCCATTAGTGTGGAAAATACAAAACTGACCGAAGATCAGCTTCTAGGGGCAACTTCACCCTACACCGGAGAGAGACCTGGAGTGTCTGTTACAGCCAATCAAAAAGGAGGCTAATTTGTGCCGCTGTTCCGTGCCCTGTCCTCTACTCTCTCCTCGGGGGCCAGTCATCACAGTCCCTTGTTGTAGGTCACCACCTTGCAATCGGTTGCCATGGCGATCTCCGGCTCAAGCTGAGACACGTCGATCTGTTGAAGTTGAACCAGAGAAAGAGATGTAAGCACACAATACGCCTACCAACCCTCTGCAACACCTAATAGCCCTTCACAGTACCTCTAAACCCAGAACCTTATCGTTCGTTCTTAATTTTAAGAGAGACAAGTGAAGTGTGTGTGAGGTGAATTCCTCCCAGCTGTCCAGCCAGCCTTCAGGGATAGCAGCTGCAGTAGTACCTGAGACATCTGTGGGAATAGGCTGATGGCCAGGGGCAGGGAGAGGCTGAAGGTAGCCAGACACACCAGGCTGTGGATGGGTAGCAACAGCCTCCGATTCGTCTGCAGCAATGGAAGTCTAACAGACATGAAGGGAAGCACACATTTGATATTGGCATTTGTATTAAATCCAATCTCAACACTAATACAACATTTCTTACACACGACTACAATAGTAATTGTCAACACCTCCACCCTTACAAAAAATGAAATGCACAGAATGTTCATCTGTTGTAAACATGGTCCTATCCGGGACCCTATTTTTCAGGCTTTAGGTATTGGGATGACCATAACTCAACTGATACTATTCTGACATTAATGCAGAGACTTGACAAGGCAGTACACTAAATAGTTCTGACCCATCTCGAAGCATGACATACTTTTCTAGGTAGGACATGACGATGGGAGGAAGGACAAAGATTGGCATCGGGAGGACCACTCTGGTAAAGGCTGTCTCCATAATTGCCTGGGGGGGAAAGAAGAATATTGTGCACATGCTTCAATTCAAAATATTGCAATATGTTGGATTAAATTCCCCTTCCCATGAGATTTGAGGGATAAGGCATATGGACATATGTGGAAAAACGCATAAATATGTTAGACTAATTATAAATTATAAAATAAACCTGTTCTTTCTTTATTGAACCTCATATGAAGAATTGTTCTGACTTCAGTCACAGACAGACTATTCATTTTGCATCAAATATACAATATTAACAGTTTACAGACAAAATATTTTGCCAGGAACAGATAATTCAATAGAACACTAGAATGGACATGATTATAGGATGGCCATCTTGCTCAGGGTATCTCTCATTCTAAAGACTGATCGAATATGATATACAGTGCCTTCGGACAGTATTCACACACCTGGACTTTTCCACATTTTGTGTTACAGCCTGAATTTAAAATAGATTAAATTGAGATTTTGTGTCACTGGCCTACACACAAAACCCCATAATGTCAAAGTGGAATTATGTTTCTAGAATGTTATACAAATTAATTAAAAATGAAAAGCTGAAATGTTATGGCAAGCCTAAATAAGTTCAGGAGTAAATATTTGCTTAACAAGTCACATAAGTTGCATGGACTCTGTGTGCTAATAGTGTTTACATGATTTTTGAATGACTACCTCATCTCTGTACCCCAAACATACAGAAAATGTTAAGGTCTACCAATAGGTCCCTCAGTCGAGCAGTGAATTATAAACAGTGATTCAACCACAAAGACCAGGGAGGTTTTCCAATGCCTCGCAAAGAAGGGCACCTATTGGTAGATGGGTAAAAATAAAAAAGCAGACATTGAATATCCGTTTGAGCATGGTGAAGTTATTAATTAGACTTTGGATGGTGTATTAATACACCCAGTCACTACAAAGACAGAGGTGTCCTTCATAACTCAGTTGCCGGAGAGGAAGGAAACCGCTCAGTGATTTCACAATGAGGCCAATGGTGACTTTAAAACAGCTACAGTTTAATGGCTGTGATAGGAAACAGGATGGATCAACAACATTGTAGTTACTCCACAATACTAACTTAAATGACAGAGTGAAAAGCAGGTAGCTTAGTGGTTAAGAGCGTTGTGCCAGTAACCGAAAGGTCGCTGGTTCTAATCCCCGAGTCGACTAGGTGAAAAATCTGTCGATGTGCCCTTGAGCAAGGCACTTAACCCTAATTGCTCCTGTAAGTCGCTCTGGATAAGAGCGTCTGCTAAATGACTCAAATGTACTGAATAAAACATGCATCCTGTTTGCAATAAGGTACTAAAGTAAAACTGCAAAAAATGTGGCAAATAAATTAACTTTATGTCCTGAATACAAAGCGTTATTTTTGGGGCAAATCCAACACATCACTGAGTACCACTCTTCACATTTTAAAGCATTGTGGTGGCTGCATCATGTTATGGGTATGCTTGTTATGGTAAGGACTAGGGAGTTTTTGGGATAAAAAGAAATGGAATAGAGCTAGGCACAGGCAGAATTCTAGAGGAAAACCTGTTTCAATCTGCTTTCCAACAAACACTTGGAGAAAAATGTACCTTTCGGCAGGACAATAACCTAAAACACAAGGCCAAATATACAATGGATTTGCTTACCAAGACGACATTGAATGTTCCTGAGTGGCCTAGTTACAGTTTTGACTTAAATCGGCTTGAAAATCTATGGCAAGACATGGAAATGGCTGTCTAGCAATGATCAACAACCAACTTGACAGATCTTGAAGAATTTTTAAAAGAATAATGTACAAATATTGTCATAGTAGGGGCACCCCCTGAAAACTCTCAATTCAAAAAATATATTATTAAATATATATACAGTACCAGTCAAAAGTTTGGACACACCTACTCATTCAAGGGTTTTTCTTTATTTTTTCTACTATTTTCAACATTGTAGAATAATAGTGAAGACACTAAACTACAGTGCCTTCAGAAAGTATTCACACCCCTTGACTTTCTCCACATTGTTGTTACAGCCTGATTTTAAAATTGATTACTTTGAGATGTTTTTATCACTGGACTACAAACCATACCCCATAATGTCAAAGTGGAATAATGTTTTTTGAAATTTTAACAAATGTAATGAAAAATGAAAAGCTGAAATGTCTTCAGTCAATAAGTATTCAATCCCTTTGTTATGGCAAGCCTAAATAAGTTCAGGAGTAAGAATGTGCTTAACAAGTCACAAGTTGCATGGACTATTATTATGTGTGCAATAATAGTGTTTAACATGATTTTCGAATGACTACCTCATCTCTGTACCCCACACATACAATTATCTGTAAGGTCCCTCAGTCGAGCAGTGAAATTCAAACACAGATTCAACCACAAAGACCAGGGAGGTTTTCCAATGCCTCGTAAAGAAGGGCACCTATTGGTTGATGGGTAAAAAAAAAAGTACATATTGAATATCCCTTTGAGCATGGTTAAGTCATTAATTACACTTTAGATGGTGTATCAATTCACCCGGTCACTACAAAGATACAGAAGTGCTTCCTAACTCCGTTGCGGGAGAGGAAGGAAACCGCTCAGGGATTTCACCATGAGGTCAATGACTTTAAAACAGAGTTTAATGGCTGTGATAGGAGAAAACTGAGGATGGATCAACAACATTGTAGTTACTCCACAATACTAACTTAAATGACAGTGAAAAGCAGGTAGCTTAGTGGTTAAGAGCGTTGTGCCAGTAACCGAAAGGTCGCTGGTTCTAATCCCCGAGTCGACTAGGTGAAAAATCTGTCGATGTGCCCTTGAGCAAGGCACTTAACCCTAATTGCTCCTATAAGTCGCTCTGGATAAGAGCGTCTGCTAAATGACTCAAATGTACTGAATAAAACATATTCCAAAACATGCATCCTGTTTGCAATAAGGTACTAAAGTAAAACTGCAAATAAATTAACTTTATGTCCTGAATACAAAGCGTTATTTTTGGGGCAAATCCAACACATCACTGAGTACCACTCTTCACATTTTAAAGCATTGTGGTGGCTGCATCATGTTATGGGTATGCTTGTTATGGTAAGGACTAGGGAGGTTTTGGGATAAAAAGAAATGGAATAGAGCTAAGCACAGGCAGAATTCTAGAGGAAAACCTGTTTCAGTCTGCTTTCCAACAAACACTTGGAGACAAATTTACCTTTCGGCAGGACAATAACCTAAAACACAAGGCCAAATATACAATGGAGTTGCTTACCAAGACGACATTGAATGTTCCTGAGTGGCCTAGTTACAGTTTTGACTTAAATCGGCTTGAAAATCTATGGCAAGACATGGAAATGGCTGTCTAGCAATGATCAACAACCTACTTGACAGATCTTGAAGAATTTTTAAAAGAATAATGTACAAATATTGTCATAGTAGGGGCACCCCCTGAAAACTCTCAATTCAAAAAATATATTATTAAATATATATACAGTACCAGTCAAAAGTTTGGACACACCTACTCATTCAAGGGTTTTTCTTTATTTTTTTACTATTTTCAACATTGTAGAATAATAGTGAAGACATCAAAACTATTCAATAACACATATGGAATCATGTATTAACCCAAAAAGTGTTAAACAAATCAAAATATATTTTAGATTTTACTTCAAAGTAGCCACCCTTTGCCTTGATGACAGCTTTGCATTCTCTCAACCAGCTTCATGAGGTAGTCACCTGGAATGCTTTTCCAACAGTCTTGAAGGAGTTCCCACATATGCTGAGCACTTGCTGGCTGCTTTTCCTTCACTATGCGGTCTAACTCATCTCAAACCATCTCAATTGTCCAAACGTTTGACTGGTACTGTATATTTTAGCGGTATATTTTTTCTGGTGGTAACACAAGAAAAATTGGAATAAGTCAAGGGGTATGCATACTTTCTGAAGGCACTGTATCTGCACAGTATGTTTAGTAGCTAGCTAGCTAGTCAGTTTTTGTTGAATGACTCCATTCATTTTCTCTCTATGGCCAGGAAGGAAACAGTGTTTTTATAAAGGCTTGTGAGAGAGGTATCATTGATGACCAGCCACTCACATGTTTGGCAGCAATCTTTGAGGAGCCCAATACGTTCCCATTTCCGTCCAGCACGTCGACGCCCTCCGACAGCTCAATGTGCCTCATGAGGCCCACGTTGCAAATGTTGGCACTGGCTGAGGAAGCGGAGAAGACTGGTTGTGACAGTGGCGATGCCTGACATTCAGCTGAGATTGAGACCTACCCATTTGAATACTCTAAAAACGTATCTTTCCTTCCTCCCGTTCTTGAAGTAATCACTAATCTGACACTACTAGATGACTAGAAAAATACGTTTAACTGTCACATACACTGGATAGGTGCAGTGAAATGTGTTGTTTTACAGGATCAACCATAGTAGCACGGCGCCCCTGGAGCAAATTAGGGTTAGGTGCCTTGCTCACGGGAACGTCGACAGATTTTCACCTTGTCAGCTCCGGTTTTTGAACCAGCGACCTTTCGGTTACTGGCCCAATGCTCTAACCACTAGGCTACCTGCCGCCGACTACTTTAGGGATGGCAGGAAGGAAGGATGCATTTTACGAGTGTTCCAACAGGGCCAATGTATCTATTTCATATTGATTTGTTTGGAGTATTCCACTTCAGCATGTGAGGTCTATAGACCGGCCCTCAGTAAAGACATAGGTTTCACATTTACAACTGGGGAGAGCTTACAGTACTATCTTGACAACACTGAACAGAGATCTATGTAGTAGGAGGATAGCTATTAGCTACACAATGCTAACCACACAAAGCTAATAGAGTAGAAACCAGCAGCAAAACATAACCAATGACATTGTATAAGCCTGCAAATCTCTGCCTCCTCTGACACCAGTTTATCTTCAGCTCTTGTTAAAGGTGATTTATCCCTTTGAGGGATGCATTTATAGCTCTATGAATAAAAGGAGGAGACCTACATACATGAGAGGACAGAGGGAGAATGAACCCAAAAGTAAAAGCAGTGCAGCCTATTCATTTGCACCTGTAGCTCATAGTACATTGTGATAAACTTATTTTAAAATAGAGTGTAGATTTTCACGTTAATACTATATTAACTAGTTATTAATTCATTATTTATGAATACATACCCACAGCTGGAAAAGGAATGAGTCTCTGTATGATCATTCGGGTTGCTGGACTCAACTTGTTGGCTTTCTGAATCAGTACATTCAGTCCTACCTAAACAACACAGCACAAACTTTAGGATACACTCTAAACCACAGGAGGCTGCTGAGGGGAGGATGGCTCATAATAATGGCTGGAATGGAGTGAATGGAATGGTATCAAACACATGGAATCCATGTATTTGATGTTTTCCATACCATACCATTAATTCCGTTCCAGCCATACTATGAGCCCGTCCTCCCCAATTAAGGTGCCATTGGCCGCCTGTGCTCTAAACCCATTTAACACGTTACATACAGCACCAGTCAAAAGTTTGGACACACCTAGTCATTCAAGGGTTTTTCTTTATTTTTACTATTTTCTACATTGTAGAATAATAGTGAAGACATCAAAACTATGAAATAACACACTTGGAATCATGTAGTAACCAAAAAAGTGTTAAACAAGTCAATATATATGTTATATGAGATTATTCAAAGTAGCCACCCTTTGCCTTGATGACAGCTTTGCACACTCTTGGCATTCTCTCAACCAGCTTCAATTTCTGAGGCTGGTAACTCTAATGAACTTATCCTCTGCAGCAGAGGGAACTCAGGGTCTTCCTATCCTGTGGCGGTCCTCATGAGAGCCAGTTTCATCATAGCGCTTGATGGTTTTTGCGACTGCACTTAAAGAAACTTTCAAAGTTCTTGACATTTTCCGGATTGACTGACCTTCATGTCTTAAAGTAATTATGGACTGTTGTTTCTCTTTGCTTATTTGAGCTGTTCTTGCCTTAATATGGACTTGGTCTTTTACCAAATAGGGCTATCTTCTGTATACCACTCCTACCTTGTCACAACACAACTGATTGGCTCAAACGCATTAAGGAAAGAAATTCCACAAATTACCTTTTAACAAGGCACACCTGTTAATTGAAATGCATTCCAGGTGACTACCTCATGAAGCTGGTTGAGAGAATGCCAAGAGTGTGCAAAGCTGTCATCAAGGCAAATGATGGCTACTTTGAAGAATCTCAAATATAAAATATATTAAGATTTGTTTAACACTTTTTTGGTTAATACATGATTCCATATGTGCTATTTCATAGTTTTGATGTCTTCACTATTATTCAACAATCTAGAAAATAGTAAAATAGTAAAGAAAAACCCTGGAATGAGTAGGTGTGTCCAAACTTTTGACTGGTACTGTATAGCAAAATAGACAGGACAGAATCGCTTATTTTTTACACTTACATTTTAGTCATTTAGCAGACGCTCTTATCCAGAGCGACTTACAGTTAGTGAGTGCATACATTTTTTTTTTAACATACTGGCCCCCCGCGGGAATCGAACCCACAACCCTGGCGTTGCAAGCGCCATGCTCTACCAACTGAGCTACACGGGGCCCCCATAAATGTATAATAATCAACAACTGACCGCAAGGGAGACAGCACTGGTCACAGCTCCGAAGTAACCTTGAAGAAACGTGGATGTCGGTGTAGGCTAATATGAACAACAACATGAATGACTTAGTATCTCACAGCCTCTTACGTAAGACTAACACTGGATAAAATAATTCTCTTGAATACCAAAACCATGAATGGAAAATTGACACTTTGACATCAGTCATATGTTCAAAACACTTTATATACTGTACATCTGGGTGGTGTTAATTAGGGCAAACCGTAACTAAACGTTTTGCAACGGAAAACCAAAAAGTCCAGGTAGTCCCTCGCTGTTTCAGTCCATTTTCTTCTATTTGGTGCCTAATAGACATGAGCCATTGCTAAATTGAAGGAAATCTACAGTACCAGATGCAGGAGATACAGTGCTAGTTGCTATGGAGCAGCACAGTATGTGGACCAAAAACACTCACACAGAATTGTAATTCAGTAGCTTTTTCTGAGAATCAAGCCGTAAATAATATAAATGATCCTCTCATACACTACCTTAGTAGCATTGCGGTTCGAGTAGTTGACACAGGCATTGTGACTCTGGTTAAGCCACTGAAAGGAGAAAAAACATTAAGTGAAATTCAATTACATCAATTTACCTCACTGGGAAGGAGAGCGTATCCAATGTGGATATTAACAACTTGGGACCGTTATTGTTGAAAAGGTTGCTTGTCATGTCTTTACCTGCCAGAAAATGGTGGATACCACAGTCTGATTTGGAAGGAGAAGGCCCACAACCTAGAATATACCAGATAGGGAGACAATAGTGCAACTGCTCTAGTCTTGCAAGGTGTCCAGAATGACTACCCCAAAAAGTCAGTAAATCCAACAGTGTTTTATTAAACAAATGACCATACCAGATGTTACACGTATTTACTGTACATACAGTAATCAACTTCAGGACAAAGTTGAATATTGTATCCATAGATACATATGAAATACAGTAATAATTTCATATATGACTTACAATTGGTGTTCCAAATGGGACATAACCTGTTTAGATGCAAAAAAATATAATCAGTGTAAAAATGACCATTAACAAAATAAAAGTCACTCTGGTGAAAGTCTTCACTTGGAAGTCATACCTGACATTCGGAAAGGCATGAAAATCTTCTCTCCTGTGTCAGGATGAATGATGGCCTGCATTCAGATATGAGATATAGAGTGTGACAACATCATCATGCTTCCAAGAGGAGAGGGAAAATGTATGTATGTATGGCAATACATACATGGGGTCAAAATGGGGTCAAACTGCTTTATACGAAGCAGACGTGTGCCACAACCTACCTGCTTGACCTTTTGGGCTTCCCATAGCTAGGGAGTAAAAAAACAGCTGTATCAGTTCAGAGCAGTGAGGGGAAATGTTGGGCAGCTGAATGTAAGGAGTGTGTTACAGCTACATATTGCAAGTGTCATAAACATTATGCTTAAAAGAAAATTGCTATTTGGAACAGTATATATTCTGTAACACTGACAAAGGCATTTCTGATAACAAAAAGCTCACCTGTAGATCAGAAACTCCAGGTGGTAGTGTTCCACGTTTAAAATCATCCAGGAGTTTAATGCATTCTGTCAATCGTCTCTGGAGAGATAAAAGAGTCATTTGAGTCAACAAGATAATTAATAATAGGTAGTTAGGTTTCTAGCTAATGTGTTATCTCAGAAAAGGACATAGGGCATCTTTGGCCAAGTGGGCCTGTCCAAAAATTATTTTGCGCAGAATGATCATTTTTGGGCTAATAATGGGGGCTTTGAGGGAAAAATGGCCTGGTGTGTGAGAAATATGTAGGCCAATTTCTGGTCTCAGTCCGACCCGGTGTTATCTGATTGGATTCCAGATCTACAGTATTGGACGCAATTCTCCTGTTGCCACAAGTCCCAAGTCTCTTAATAATTATCTCTTACAAAAACCAATTGCTGAAGTAGTAAAACAGTACATGGATTGATGTTTTCAACTGTACCTTACCTCAGACACAAAGAGTGTGCTGGGGTCAATGATCTCCACAAAGTGTTTCAGCCGGCCAAGAAATGAACTCTGGAAAAGACAAAGCGACTAGTTAATTATTGATGAGCTAGCCATAATGTAATACCAAATCTTAACACCCCAACTGTCTGTAAATAATTTAGGTAGCACACTCACACGTGAGGGGGACAGAATGAGGGGGAATCAGGGGAAAGAGGGAGAGATCATCTTCAATGGCTACGTACGTTATCAGTGGTGCACAGTGGGTGGAACCTCGCAGGACAAAATTCAAACCACCCGATTCATTCCTTTATTGAATACCATTAACGATAGTAAATAAATTGCTTGTGCACATCTTCAATAATCCGGTCCCACTATAAACAAAAGATAACTGTAGCTCAGTTGGTAGAGCATGGCGCTTGCAACGCCAGGGTTGTGGGTTCGTTTCCCACGGGGGGCCAGTATGAAAATGTATGCACTTGCTAATTGTAAGTCGCTCTGGATAAGAGCGTCTGCTAAATGTAAAACATTTAAATAACTTTTAAGGCTCAATGAAGCCTTCATAAGGCCTATATGGATGCCTCAGAAATCCTCCATAAGCAAATCACATGTTATGTGAAGGGTGACAAAACGGTTATGCCACATTTTCCATAGCACATTTTATATCACCCTTTACATAGTATTACATTACTTACAAATGCTTTGTGAAGCAATGTAGGGCTTATGAAGACTTTATGAATGCCATATATCATTTAGTCATTTAGAAGATGATCTTTAATAACGTGTTGTTTGAGGGACACAGAATTCAACATTGAAATAATTAATATCAACGTCTCATTTCAAATGATGTGGATTGAAGCAAATGGATGCAGCACTCCATCACTCTCCTTCTTGGTAAAATAGCCCTTACACAGCCTGGAGGTGTGTTGGGTCATTGTCCTGTTGAAAAACAAATGATAGTCCCACTAAGCCCAAACCAGATGGGATGGAGTATCGCTGCAGAATGCTGTGGTAGCCATGCTGGTTAAGTGTGCCTTGAATTCTAAATAAATCACAGACTGTGTCACCAGCAAAGCACCCCCACACCACAACACCTCCTCCTCCATGCTTTACGGTGGGAAATACACATGCGGAGATCATCCGTTCACCCACACCGCGTCTCACAAAGCCACGGCGGTTGGAACCAGAAATCTCCAATTTGGACATCAGACCAAAGGACACATTTCCACCGGTCTAATGTCCATTGCTCGTGTTTCTTGGCCCAAACAAGTCTCTTCTTCTTATTGGTGTCCTTTAAATCAAATCAAATTTTATTTGCCACATGCGCCAAATACAACAGGCGTAGACATTACAGTGAAATGCTTACTTAGAAGCCCTTAATTTTTTATTTTATTTTAAATAAATGCATTGTTGGTTAAGTGTTAAGTAAAACAAATAAAAGCAAATAACTAAAGAGCAGCAGTAAAATAAAATAACAGTAGTGAGGCTATATACAGTGGGGTACCGGTGCAGAGTCAATGTGCGGGGGCACCGGCTAGTCGAGGTAATATGTACATGTGGGTATAGTTAAACTGACTATGCATAAATAATAGACAGAGTAGCAGCAGCGTAAAAGAGGGGGGTGGGGGTGGGGGGGGGCAGTGCAAATAGTCCGGGTAGCAATGATTAGCTGTTCAGGAGTCTTATGCCTTGGGGGTAGAAGCTGTTGAGAAGCCTCTTGGACCTAGACTTGGCGCTCCGGTACCGCTTGACGTGCGGTAGCAGAGAGAACAGTCTATCACTAGGGTGGCTGGAGTCTTTGACAATTTTGAGGGGCCTTCCTCTGACACCGCCTGGTATAGAGGTCCTGGATGGCAGGAAGCTTGGCCCCAGTGATGTACTGGGCTGTACGCACTACCCTCTGTAGTGCCTTGCCGAGACCGAGCAGTTTCCATACCAGACAGTGATGCAACCAGTCAGGATGCTCTTGATGGTGCAGCTGTAGAACTTTTTGAGGATCTGAGGACCCATGCAAATCTTTTCAGTCTCCTGAGGGGGAATAGGCTTTGTCGTGCCCTCTTCACGACTGTCTTGGTGTGTTTGGACCATGTTAGTTTGTTGGTGATGTGGACACCAAGGAACTTGAAGCTGTCAACCTGTTCCACTACAGCCCCGTCAATGAGAATGGGGGCGTGCTCAGTCCTCTTTTTTTTCCTGTAGTCCACAATCATCTCCTTTGTCTTGATCACGTTGAGGGAGAGGTTGTTATCCTGGCACCACACGGCCGGGTCTCATCGTTGTCGTTGATCAGGCCTACCACTGTTGTGTCGTCAGCTTAATGATGGTGTTGGAGTCGTGCCTGGCCATGCAGTCATGGGTGAAAAGGGAGTACAGGAGGGGACTGAACACGCACCCTTGAGGGGACCCCCGTGTTGAGGATCAGCGTGGCAGATGTGTTGTTACCTACCCTTACCACCTGGGGGCGGCCCGTCAGGAAGTGCAGGATCCAGTTGCAGAGGGAGGTGTTTAGTCCCAGGATCCTTAGCTTAGTGATGAGCTTTGAGGGCACTATGGTGTTGAACGCTGAGCTGTAGTCAATGAACAGCATCGGCTACGGAGAGCGTGATCACATAGTCATCCGGAATAGCTGGTGCTCTCATGCATGCTTCAGTGTTGCTTGCCTCGAAGCGAGCACAGAAGTGATTTAGCTCGTCTGGTAGGCTTGTGACACTGGGCAGCTCGCGGCTGTGCTTCCTTTTGTAGTCTGTAATAGTTTTCAAGCCCTGCCACATCTGACGAGCGTCAGAGCTGGTGTAGTACGATTCAATCTTAGTCCGGTATTGACTCTTTGCCTGTTTGATGGTTCGACAGAGGGCATAGCGGGATTTCTTATAAGCGTCCGGGTTAGAGTCCTGCTCCTTGAAAGCGGCAGCTCTACCCTTTAGCTCAGTGCGGATGTTGCCTGTAATCCATGGCTTCTGGTTGGGGTATGAACGTACGGTCACTGTGGGGACGACGTCATCGATGCACTTATTGATGAAGCCAGTGACTGATGTGGTGTACTCCTCAATGCTATCTGAAGAATCCCGGAACATATTCCAGTCTGTGCTAGCAAAACAGTCCTGTAGCTTAGCATCTGCATCATCTGACCACTTTTCTATTAACCGAGTCACTGGTGCTTCCTGCTTTAGTTTTTGCTTATAAGCAGGAATCAGGAGGATAGAGTTATGATCAGATTTGCCAAATGGAGGGCGAGGGAGAGCTTTGTATGAGTCTCTGTGTGTGGAGTAAAGGTGGTCTAGAGTTTTTTTTCCTCTGGTTGCACATTTAACATGCTGGTAGAAATGAGGTAGAACAGATTTAATTTTCCCTGCATTAAAGTCCCCGGCCACTAGGAGCGCTGCCTCTGGATGAGCGTTTTCCTGTTTACTTATGGCCTTATACAGCTCATTGAGTGCAATCTTAATGCCAGCATCGGTTTGTGGTGGTAAATAGACAGCTACGAAAAATATAGATGAAAAGTCTCTTGGTAAATAGTGTGGTCTACAGCTTATTATGAGATACTCTACCTCAGGCGAGCAAAACCTAGAGACTTCCTTAGTATTAGATTTTGTGCACCTGCTGTTGTTTACAAATATACACAGACCACCACCCCTTGTCATACCGGAGTCAGACCGGAGTTCTATCCTGCCGATGTAGCGTATATCCCGTCAGCTGTATGTTGTCCATGTCGTCATTCAGCCACGCCTCGGTGAAACATAAGATATTACAGTTTTTAATGTCCCGTTGGTAGGATAACCGTAATCTTAGGTCGTCCAATTTGTTTTCAAATGATTGAACATTGGCTAATAGGATTGATGGAAGAGGCAGTTTACCCGCTCGCCGTCGGATCCTTACAAGGCACCACGACCTACGTCCACGATATCTCCGTCTCTTTTTCATGCGAATGACGGGGATTTGGGCCTTGTCGGGTGTCTGTAGAATATCCTTCGCGTCCGGCTCGTTGAAGAAAGAATCTTCGTCCAATACGAGGTGAGTAATCGCTGTCTTGATATCCAGAAGCTCTTTTTGGTCATAAGAGACAGTGGCAGAAACATTATGTACAGAATAAATTACAAATAACGCGAAAAAACACACATAATAGTACAATTGGTTAGAGGGCTGTAAAACGGCAGCCATCTTCTCCGGCGCCACTTCTTCTTTAGTAGTGGTTTCTTTGCAGCAATTCGACCATGAAGGCCTGATTCACACAGCCTCCTCTGAAAAGTTGATGTTGAGATGTGTCAGTTACTTGAACTCTGTGAAGTATTTATTTGGGCTGCAATTTCTGAGGCTGGTAACTCTAATGAACGTATCCTCTGCAGCAGAGGTAACTCTGGTTCTTCCATTCCTGTGGCGGTCCTCATGAGAGCCAGTTTCATCATAGCGCTTGATGGGTTTTGCGACTGAACTTGAAGAAACTTTCAAAGTTCTTGAAATTTTACTGACCTTCATGTCTTAAAGTAATGATGGACTGTCATTTCTCTTTGTTTATTTGAGCTGTCCTTGCCATAATATGGACTTGGTCTTTTACCAAATAGGGCTATCTTCTGTATACCAACCCTACCTTGTCACAACACAACTGATTGGCTCAAACGCATTAAGGAAAGAAAGTTCCACAAATTAACATTTAACAAGGCACACATGTTAATTGAAATGCATTCTAGGTGACTACCTCATGAAGCTGGTTGAGAGAATGCGTAGTGTATAAAGTGTGTAAAGCTGTCATCAAGGCAAAGGGTGGCTACTTTGAAGAATCTCAAATATAAAATATATTTTGATATGTTTAACACTTTTTTGGTTACTACATGATTCCATATGTGTTATTTCATAGTTTTGATGTCTTCACTATTATTCTACAATGTAGAAAATAGTAAAAATAAAGAAAAACCCTGGAATGAGTAGGTGTGTCCAAACTTTTTACTGGTACTATATACAGTGGGGAGAACAAGTATTTGATACACTGCCGATTTTGTAGGTTTTCCTACTTACAAAGCATGTAGAGGTCTGTAATTTTTATCATAGGTACAATTCAACTGTGAGAGATGGAATCT